TTTGGATTCCATCTGCCAGGAACAGACATATTTATGTAAATTAAGTGCTATGACAGACAGTGTTATATAAATAAAGTACTATGACAGAACCATAGCTAAACCACACCAAAATAACCCTCATTTTGCTTCTTTGCAGCCTGGTCCTTGTTCTCAGTCAATCTACTTCCAACTTTCTGTTTACTTTGGTCTTTTTTATAAAACAAATTAAAATTGTTTTAAAAATCAGGGATTGTTTTTACAGCAGGTATAGGTTAACATCAAAATTGAAAAGAAAGAGGTTTCTCTTATTCTCCCTGTACCCCCTTATCCGTACATACATAGCCTCTCTCATCATCGATATCTCCATCGAAGAGGTATAGTTTGTTAAAACAGTGAATTTTAACATTGGCATGTTACTTATTCGTGAGGTCCATATTCTACATTAGGGTTCACTCGGTGCTATCCATTGGTGGGTCTGGGCAAATGCTTAATAACATATACCCCTAGGTACAGTGTCATGCATAGCACTTTTTACTGTTGTAAACCACCTTTTATTTATTTATTTATTTATTTATTTATTTATTTATTTATTCATTTATTTTGGTAGAACTGGAGATTGAACTCAGGCCCTTGAGCTTGCCAGGGAAGTGCTCATTCTACTGAGCCATCTTCCTGGCCTGTAAACCACCTTTGTGCACTGCTTCCCATGTTTTCTTATGGATTTATTACTCAACTCTTTTAATATTGAATAATATTCCATTGTTTGGCTCTGCCACACTTTACCCACTCATCACTGAAGAAAATCTTGATTATGCCCAGTTTTTGCTAATTATGAATAAAGCTACTATAAACATCTCTCTGTGTGTTTTTATGTGGATATAGGTTTTTAATTCTTTTGGGTAAGTTCAAAGGATTGCTAGATTGTGTGATAAGAGTATAATAAATATTATAAGACCCACAAAACTATTTTTCAAAGAGCCTGAAATATTTTTAATTTTAAAAAGAAAATATAAACAAAATAGAGTTTCAAAACAGGCTAGTAGGGTAGTAACAATAATCAACATGCTGCGCAGTGTTGTATTCACAGTAGTTTTTCAGAGTGCAGGACATAGGCATGGGACATTGCCCAGAGAAGTACTAGCACAAAACCCCACAGTCCTCTCACGTGTATCAGTGGTTGATTCTTGATGATAGACATTCTTTCTGGGGTAAGGTGGAACCTCAGTGTTGTTTTATTTTGCCTTTTTTCCAGTGAGCAATGATGTTGAATACTTTTTCATATATTCATTTGCCTTTTGTATTTCTTCATCTGAGAAGTGTATATTCATCCCAGGTACCCATTTTTTGGATTGGGTCTTTGAATTTTGGGAGTCCTGATTTTTTAAATAAAATTCTATAATGTTCTAGATAGAAGTCCTTTGTCTGAAGGACGGCTAGCTAAAGTTTTTTCCCAATCTGTAGATTTTCTTTTCACTCTGTTGGTGATTTCTTCTCATGCGAAAAAACCTTTTTAAAAGATGAGATTCAAGTTGTTGATTATTTGAAGTATTTTCTGTGGAGTTTGGTTTTTGTTTAGGAACTCTCTACCTACCCATTTGTCTTCATGATTTCTACCTACTTTTGCCTCCAGTAAATTTAGTGTTTCTGTTTTAAAATTTACATCTTGGATTCATTTTGACTTTAGTTTAGTACATGATGGTAGTGATGGATCTAGTTTTAGTTTCTGGCACGTGGAAAGCCAGTTTCACCAGAAATATTTAATAAAGATGATATCTTCCTTCAAGCGCATGTGTCTGGGCCCTTTGCCAAAGACAAGATTGCTGAGTGTGTCTGAAATTCCACTGATCCTCAGGGTTGGTTTTATTTTTATTTTGCCAGTACCATACCGATTTTATAATAATAGCTTTGTAGTATAATTTCAGGTCTGGCTTGCAATGCTTCCTGACTCGCTTTTGTTTTCCAGAATTGTTTTTATTATTCTAGGTCACTTTTGTTTCCAAATGAATTTTAGGAATATTTTTTCTAGATCTGTGAGGTATGCTAATGGTATTTGATTGAGATTGAATTAAATTTGTACAGAAGTTTTGAGAGTAGGGCCTTTTTCAGTATGTTGGTTTTTCCTATCCATGAGGAAGGAGTATCTATTTTCTATGTCCTTCTTGATCTTTTTCAGAGTACTGGAGTTTTCTTTTCCTTTTCTTTCTTTCTTTTTTTTTTTTTTTTCCAAAACCGGGGATTGAACTCAAGCCCTTGTGCTTGCCAGGGAAGCTCTTATTCTACTGAGCCATCTCCCTGGTCCCAGCAGTTTTCAATGTATAGATTTTTTACTTCCTTCATGAAATTGATTTCCAAATAGTTCATTTTTTTTGGATGCTGTTGTAAAGATATGGTTTCCTTAATTTTTTCCTTTCTATTCTTACTCCTTCTATTTTTCTTGTCTGATTGCTCTGCCTAATGTTTCCTAAACTATATTGAACAGTAGAGGTTCTAATGAACATCCTTGTTTTGTTCCTGATTTTAGAATGAAAGCTTTCAGCTTTTGATAATTGCGTGTGATGGTAGCTGTTGGTTTGTAACAGATGGCTTTATCAGATCAAGATAAATACCCTCCTTTCCAATTTTCTGTAAGGCTTT